CTAGAAGCCATTGATGCAGTTCCGGAAACTAGCTGACAGACAATGAGACAGGGATTTTCTTGACGGAAAACAGGATTGACGGTAAGAGTTGGATCAAACCTATGCCTACCCGTTTTAAGAAAGCTTCAACTACCTCTTCCATCAATCCGACTAGACATGCTTCAAGAACATTAATTAAAATGTTATATGTCGGTGCATTTGTTTGTTTTTTTACCTTACAGTTAATATTTGTTTTTTAATCATCCTATACTTATTTATTTGTAGTTACATCAAAATAAAAGACCGTGAATTTCCCCTACAATCGTGAGGATGAAAATGTTGATATTGATGATTTAGAACATTTATAAAGTAGCGCAAGATATTTTGAAACATATGCATGAAAAATGTATGATCTGCCAACTTTCGGGGGCTGGAATACGTCAAGTGTAGATTTCAGATATAAGAAAATTCCCCATAAGAACCTGAGATATATGGGGCTAACATTTTGGTAATCCGGTATATTAATGGATGTGGAATGATCAATTTGCGAGTTGAATACTTCATATTAGGAGAAAAGAAACCATCACAGACAAATAAGATCAAAACGCGTGCATCAGCCTACAAGTTGGCCCTTCTGTCTTCATTTTCCATGTCCACATGAAGAGGAAACAAGGTTTTGATGACAAGAACGAGAAAAAAGGTGAACTCCCCGATAGAAAATGATGGAAAAGATGAGACCCCACTCATCTATATAAAACGCTTTTTCTCAAGATATTTGCTACGGGACAGTTTTGGTCCAAGCAAGTGAAAGGTCATCAGTGAAATGGGTTCTCTAATGGCAGGATGGGATTCTCCCGTATCAGATTCTGAATCAGGTTAATAGCGGTAAATTCTTATCTGCTTTATCCAACATGCCATAATGTTTCCATTGTGTTTTCCTTCCTGCTTGAAAATCTTTCAGCAATACTCCTAAGGAATCGATCACTTACCAAGGAAGAGATCCAAGCTTACTGGAAATCAAAGAAGAAAACGGAGGAAGATCATCTAAAGGCTATTCATAGTCCATCAGATAGCAGCAACCAGCTGCAGGTACAGTTTCTTTAGTATTAAAGATTTAGACATGCACAAAGTTTTACTGAAATAGTATATATCTTATTGCCATTTCCAAAAAGGAAACTCGATTCGAGGAGAATGGAAGTAAATTTATGAGATCAAGCTCCATGCCATTACCTCGTGCAAAACAGGGTTTCCCGGTCACGGAGAATATCATAGAGAATAATGGGTGGTAGGTAGCTAAGCTTAGTCCACTCGTTGAGACAAAAAATGTTGACAGTTTTTGTTTAACGTTTAGTGTTTCCGTAGGTGGACGAGGAGCAATTGGGCGTTCTTGAATGAGCCTTCTGTTCCCGATGGCCCTACTAATAGCTACACATCGCAGTTCCACATTGCAAACCTTGCTGACAAAGACACTGGAATCAGTACTTAATCTTTACCTCCTAAACCTATCTTTTGTCAGCGCATCTAATGTATCCCTGTGTCCAACACATATTCAGACACATGTTTGGAAATAAGATTTGTTCTGCAATCAACTGGCAGGATTGCAAGTTTTCTCTCTTTTTACCCTCTTCTCTCTGCCATTTTTATCTTATTTTTCTGAAGGTAAAAAAGTAACTAGAAACACAAAAGGAAAGAAAAAAGGTGAAATGCATGGGTTGAAAAATAAGCCTATCAGGTTCTTGTTTACTTCTCAGAAACATATCATCTCTTGTAATATAATCATCAAAACATAAAACATCTGAACATGGAAGAGTCGCATTCAAGACAACAACAATTCTGTGATTGTGTTTTTCTTTAAAAGTATTCTTTTATGATAAGCTGTAAAATTACTTATTCTTCATTGCTCATATTGCTTTCTAGTCTCCACCACAATAAAGAAGTAAACCTACGAGACTGCTGCAGAATTCATTCTGTACTAGATCTAAGGTTTGGGCCAACGCAAAGAGTATGAAGTGAAGGCCCACTGGACCATTTCCCGTGCCGTGCTTAAGTTAAATCGATTTCAAGCCTGAAACGCGAGCTTGATACACTATAAAAGAGACATTTTGACCCATTAAATGTTAATTTAGGTAGCTTAGTAAAAGCTTAAGTATACAAAAGGTGTCAAACTTATGTTCTTTTTTTTAATTTAGTACCTAACGTTTATTTCGTTTCAGTTTGGTACCTAATGTTTCATTACGTTACTCATTTAGATGTTCGGGCCGTAAACAGTTTTAATCTCCCTATTAAGTTACATGTGTCACAACCTGGTAATTTTATAATTTTTATTTAAAATTAAAATTATATATATATTTTTAAAAAAGAAAAAACAAATTTTAAAATAAACCCAAAACTTTGGAAACCTTCATTCAACCCCCAAAACCACGCCGTCCGCTGCCTTTTGCCGTCGACAAAGATTCACCCGACCTCACCTCCCCTCGATGACCAAAACCCCCATAAAATCGTGATCAATATACGGCCGATCGATGACGAATCAACGGTTTATACCCCGTGAACCCTAGGATGTAAATTGTGATCCCACGCGATTTCGACAGCCGATCAAACGTCTATTGGTCACGATTTCATTGGGGGTTTTGGTCAGTAAGGGGAGGGGAGGTCGAGTGGAGCTTCGTTGACGGCAAAAGGCAACGATCGGCATAGGTTTAGCGGTTGAAATGAAGGTTTTTCAAAGTTTTGGATTTATTTCAAAATTTGTGTTTTCTTTTTAAAATATATATATAATTTCAAATTTTAATTTTAAATAAAAATTTTAAAATTATCAATTTGTGACATGTGTCCCTTAACGACCAAACTTAATTACTTGTTACGACTTGATTTATTTTAAGTAACAGAATGAAACGTTAAACATCAACCGAAATTAAATAAACGTTAAATACCAAACTCGAAAAAAAAACATAAATTTGACACATTTTGTATACTTAAGCCCTTAGTAAACGACAAAGTAACCTATTACAATCTGCTGATAACATAATTATAACATTTCTTGAAATTGGCAATGGATGTTACTTGTTATGTTGACCAGGTTCATTTCATATCTAAAATATCATACTGAACGGGACATGAGGTGTAAAATTCATGATAGCCATTACCTAACCAATTCTTGAATAGACAACGGATATTACTTGTTATGTTGGCCAGGTTCATCCCATTTCTAGAACATCAAACTAAAAGGGATATGAGCTGTGGATTCATGATGGCTATTACCTATCAAAACGAATTCCAACACTGGATTTCGACAGTCGTAAAATTGTGATTGAAGGTTCAAAATATAACATTTTAAAAATCATCACAAAATTATATAAATTAATACCTAATATTACTATTTGATGAATCCACGTATAATATGATTATATATTAGTAATTATAATATATTTCAAATAAATTTCAATTATTACTTTGTAATATTCTCATTTTTTGTCAAAAATTATACATGAAATATTTTTTTTATATTTTAGAGCCAATCGTCCCTACAATTCTCTACGTGGCTTCGCCACTAGGTTTGGAGACTTTTCCAGTAATAGCTAATGAGGTTTGAATAACATGGAATTTTTAACATCCTGTTTGCTCCCAGCCCAACAAGAACTTTAGTGCGTGATTTGAGTGCTTCACAAATAGTAAAAATGTACACATAATAAGTTATAATATAGAAAATATATTGTATTCACAGGTATTGATGAAACTCTATATTTTAACTTCTTGCATTATAAAAAGAAATAAATTAATAAGAGTAAGAGTGTAAATAAATAAAATAAATGTGAAAATAAATAGAAGTAGAGTAATATCAAGTGAGAGAGAAAGTTGAGTTATCATGATTAGTGGTGTAATATCTCTTTGAAAAGTTTGAGTCGTTGATTGCCGAGACAACAAGTTGTCGAGGTAATTAGTTGTCGTGGGCAACTGAGTATTTTCCTTCAAAGCTCGATAGAGCGTTCTTCAATGCCTTCTTGTTATTTCTAACTTCAAAAGATTGGTCAATTATGCATGCATTTGTGATACATTCATGCGTTAACCATGGATGAACATCAATTTTATCCAACGTTCGTTCAAATGAAGATCGTGTTCATTCGTTTCATGAATCTAACTCTCCCGATATTAGATTAAACTCTCGAGATCCTCTCTCAATTCACTCAAAGTCAATTAAAGAACCAAGAATGAACAAACTTTGAATTAAAAAGATAATCGAGAACTTAAAGAAATTCAAAAGTCTCACAACCACAAAATCTCAATAACCAAAGTCAAATTAGTTCAGTTCATGGATGAGTGCAAAAAAATTATAAGATAAAAATTTCTCAATCCATGAAAAGAAAAAAAATAAAAAAAAAATCGTGCTCCCTTTTCTCTCTCTAGACGCCCCTTTTTTTGTGTGTTTTCTTCTCTCTTTTATAGTAGATGTGTGTGTCCTCTTTTCTTGGAGAAAAATAATTTTTATCCTAATAAAAGAGCTATTAAATCTCTTTTAATTAAAGATATAATAAATCTCTTCTAATAAAAGAAATAAATCTCTTTTATTTTTATCCTTAAATCCCTTACAATTAATACTTCTTTTCTTCTTTAAACTCTTCTTGGAAATCTAAACTTTTAGAAATTATCTCCTTGTGTCATGATTATCTTTAATGAGATGAATTTATCCCGTTAGCATTATCCTGCACAAAATAATACACACCAACATCTTTTTCACACACAAAAAATAAAAATATAATATCAACTCAACAATAAAAGAAAATATATAGTTATGCATGAAATATTAATATACAAATAAATTTAACTTGAATCTAACCATAATTGTAAGTAAAAATGATAGATAAATTAGTACTTTTACACACCTAACAAACTTCAACACGACACACCAACAAATTTGCGTTTAATGGAAATAATTTGTGGTCCTTAATGGTTTTGAACCACTATTGTTCCAACCACAAGGCTATTCTTGCCACTTCACGTCCCTCGTTTCGTCCATAAATAGTGCTCCGTTTGGAAAGAGGAAAAAGCATAACTCAAAACCTCCTAGCTGTGTACGTAGCCGAAGAATTCTACAATGGCAGGAAAGAGTAAGATTTTGATCATCGGAGGCACCGGATACATTGGAAAGTTCATCGTTGAAGCCAGTGCAAAAGAGGGTCATCCCACTTTTGCTTTAGTGAGAGAGACTACGATCTCTGATCCAGTTAAGGGAAAAATCATTGAAAACTTCAAGAACTTAGGGGTCCAATTGTTGTACGTAAGTACATATCTTGAGCTCTTTGTGAATGTGGCACATACATTCGAAATTTAGGGTGGTGAAGTTTTTTTTTGCACGCAGGGGGACCTTTACGATCATGAGAGCTTGGTGAAGGCAATAAAGCAAGTTGATGTTGTGATATCTGCAGTAGGACACATGCTGTTAGGAGATCAAGCTAAGATCATTGCTGCCATTAAAGAAGCTGGAAACGTCAAGGTTAGTTACTCTTTTCTTTTTCTTTTGCGAATTCTTCATTCCATTGTAAGGGGTTTTTTCTTTTCTATTTGAACAGAGATTTTTCCCTTCGGAATTTGGAACTGACGTTGACCGGCATCATGCGGTTGAGCCGGCAAAATCAGCATTCGCAATCAAAGCTCAAATCCGTCGTAGTATCGAGGCTGAAGGGATCCCTTACACTTACGTGGCGGCTAACTGTTTTGCGGGCTATTTTCTTCCAAATTTGTCACAGGCAGGAGCCACCACTCCCCCAAGAGACAAGGCCGTCATCCTAGGCGACGGAAATGCCAAAGGTAAAACTTTGGGTGAATATCAGTAGTATGCTCAGTTTTCCCTATGTCTCATGTAATGTATATCTGGTATTGATATCGCATTGCTCCCTATTCATATCGTACTGTATTTTGCAGCTGTTTTCAACTATGAAAGTGACATCGGCACCTACACCATCAAAGCTGTCGATGACACCAGAACATTGAACAAGATTCTGTTCATCAAGCCTACTAAAAACATCTACTCATTCAATGACCTCGTTGCACTGTGGGAGAAATTGATTGGCAAAACCCTGGACAAAACATATGTTCCCGAGGACCAACTTCTCAAACAGATCCAAGGTTGCTGAATTCCCGCCCTGCTCTTGTTTTATTCATCAGACTATGGCGATGTTGACATTTATGCATTTTGTTGGTTTCTCCATCATTTCTTTCTTGCAGAGGCACCAATCCCAATCAACATCGCATTGTCCATCAATTATTCCATCTTTATCAAGGGAGATCACACCAACTTTGAGATCGAACCATCATTCGGAGTCGAGGCTTCCGAACTATACCCTGAAGTGAAATATACCACTGTGGAAGAATACCTCAGTCGTTTCGTTTAACTTGAACCGTTTCTCCTTGTTGTTAATCTAAACTAATACTAATCCAGAAGCTGTCACCGAGATTTACACTTATTATCATTCGATCCGAATGAGAACCATGGTGTTGTTTCTGAAATTATGAACTATGAGAACCCCTGTTGGCTTTACTCATTACTTATAATTCTCTGTTATCAATGAATTTGAACTGAACAGTCATTGAATTTACTTGCATATATTGCTCTAATCAGTGGAAACATGAATCCATATCCATACATTATTAACAAAATGGAATTCTAAATGCGTCTCCACAAATGGATTTCCTCTCTAAAATGCCTCGCCCAAACACAACAGAATCGATTAACCAGGGGAAAACGACAGAATCTCCATTATTAAGAACCGTAAAAGTGTAACCTATCACTAGTGTCATATAATGAGTAATGACTCAACTCGACCCATTACCATTTCTGGTTCTCGTGTCAAATGTCAGTCAGTCACAACTTACCCTCACTCATCCCCTGGGAACTCCGTTTCAAACTCTCACTGCTTAGGCAAAATCATCCGTCTAACATTAGCAGTAGATTTTGAATTTTACTTCTACTTATCTATATATAATAATCGAGAAGAGGACGATTTCTGAGATCTGAATCTACCCCCCCCTTTCATCTACCTCGTGCAGAGGAAGATATAATTTTATTGTTCATCTGATTCTTTTCTACAAGATTAGATTGTGGTTAGGGCTATTCTTTGACATTATATTTTAATAGATTTTGCTGATGGTCGCGACGTTTTTCCCAATAAATCACCGGTGATCGTTATATTTATCGATCTAACACCGGTCAGATTATATTTCTCGATCTAACACTCATAACAGTAAAGCGCGCCTCCTGCCCCGCGATATACGGTGATTTGACGCCACGTGGGTATAGTACGCCCCCTGATCCACGCTATACCTAGGTATCTGACACGTGGGGTATAGTGCGGTGCAGGGCGCGCGCTATACCAGTCTCAGCACCATTCGCACCAGACTCACAAAGCGGTTCTTCTAGAGGAGATGATGGTTTCTCCATGCTCTCCACATTTAGGTCGAAGAACCTACTACTTGCACGCCTTCCCTTTGAACTGGAAGGCATATCGACATTCATATCAAAAAAGCTCGCAGTCGAATGCCTCCCCCTGGAGTTTGAAGCCATCGTGTCAAATGAAAACTGCACATATGGCATCTTCATATGGTCAAAGAAATTTGCAGATGAATGTGTTTCCCTTGAACTGGACGCGGTTTTGCCATATGGATTGTTCGTGGACCCACCTCGGTACATATCGTAAGGAGTTGCGGATGAATGTCTCCCCATTATGGCATTAAAATCATTACACATTACTGTAGTCGGGCTGTCAATTTGATCAACTTGTTCAGCCAGCTTATAGTGTGAGCTTAAAGATCGACTCCGAACAGCACGCACTTGAACAAAATGTGCATACATCTCAATAGCGGCGTCTGAATAATTACTTTGAGCTTCAATCATCATTTGAACATCATCATTGTTTTAAAGTTCGAACGCTGTATAAGTTAATGGCAACAATGATGTTGGAAATATGTACTGCAACGACGACATTCTTTTACTACTTCCAACATGAATTTTCCTCGAAATCTTTGTTATCAGCTCCTCAAGAGTTATGTTTCTCTTGAATGATATTTTAACACGCTCATTTGATACGAAAACAATGTCGGTTTCATCTTCTCGAATTTCACCATCATAATAAACAATAGCTGAAAGTCGTGTCATTCTTTGAGTTTAAAAGTGCGACAATATTATATCTGCAAAAAAAAATAACTGAAACAAACCTGATTAAATAAATTATATATGAACGAAAATATAACACAAATTTTTTTTTACACATCAACATAAATAATTTAAATAATATAATTTTATATTATTACCTGCACCGCAAAACTATTTCGACGTATGCTCTCGCTTTTCAATTTTACAAACATAAAAATTAATTGAAAATAATTAGTATAATATTTTTTCAAATAATGATAATAAACAATAAGTATAATTAAAAAATTATAATAAAATTACCTTATAACGAAAAATCGTACGAACTTCTAAATCAAATATGAGAAGATTGCCAGAATTATTACTCGTTGACGGAATTGTTGTATTAATTTATAAGAGAGGAGAGATGCGAGGAGATGTGAGAACCGAATGAGTGTATTTATAAACATATAAGACGCGGTACCTGCACCGCGTTATATGTAATTACACCGCGTTATATGTAATTATTATATAGCGCGGACCAGGGACCGCATTAAATATAATTTTGGTTCGGCGTATAGCGCCCCTCGATCCGCGCTATACCCCTACATGACGTATAGCGCGGAGCAGGGGGCGTGCTATACCCCACGTGTAACTGAGTCAGCGTATAGCGCGGTACAGGGGCGCACTATACTCCACGTGACGCCAAATCAGAATATAGCGCGGTTCAGGAGGCTCGCTTTACTGCTATGGGTGTTAGATCAGTAAATATAATCTAACCGGTGTTAGATCGATAAATATAATCTAACCGGTGTTAGATCGATAAATATACCGATCATCGATAATTTTTCGAGAAAAACACCGATGGTCGCAACTATATTTATCGGTGAGCAGGAGATGTCAACAGCAGAGTTTGATCTGGAATTAATTATAGGATAAAGTATAAAAATAGTCCCTGAATTTTTAAGACATTTGTATTTTAATCATCTAACTTTTGAAACTTATAACACAATCATTAAAATTTTAATTCAATGTCTATGTCGTTATCCCCTTTAGTTTTTACTGGGCTTTTTTTTCTCTCTAGGTTATTTCTAACCTTGTTCTCTAGATTTCTTCTTCTTCTTCAAACGGGCAGGAAAGCTCTCGTGTAAATTTGGATGAAGTATCACTAGAAGCAACTAGTGAATCAAATAAGGAAAAACTGAAAGAGAAAAGGAGGAGAATTTCTTGTGAAAGAGGGGATTTGATGTTTCCTTTTCGTGTGGAATTTTCTTTCTAATGCCCACCTTTTGTTTTTCTGAAGAAAATTGTGAAAAAGAGGAAAAAAACCCAAAGATAGACAAAAGATCACATAATCACTCAAAACTTTTAGCTTCTCTATCTATGAAATGAGAGTTAGATTAAGCACGATCCAACAAACCCTCACGCTAGAGGTGGTCGGAGTGTTGAACTATTCGTTAGTCGAAGCAAGCCGTCGGAATCACGGCCAAACGACGCTTCTCCATGTGGGGGCGACGCTACTTGCCTCTCCCTCCGGACTCCTTCACCAAGCATGTAAAATATTGAGAATAAGGAAATGGATGAGGTCTCTGAGATTATAACAAGGGGCATCCGGGAAACAAAGAAGTGAAGCGTGTAATTGATATTCTGACAAGGAGTAAGAAGGTGAATCCGATTCTGGTCGGTGATTCGGAATGGGAAGCGTTTGTTAAGGAGATTTTGAGGAATATTGAGTGTAGGGAAATGAATGTGGTCTTGACAAATGTTGAGGTGGTTCGTGTGGAGAAAGATTTCACATTGAATAAAACCCAAATGGTTGCAAAAGTAAAGAAGTTGGGCACTAAAGTTGGAGCAATGACAGGGAACTTGGATTGTTGAGGAGTGATTCTTGATATGGGTGACTTGAAGTGGGTATTGGAGAACAATCAAGCAGTGGGTCTTACCGACAGGGTTCAACAGGCAGTATCAGGAAGTAGGACTCTCCACAGTGATTGAGATGGTGAAGTTGTAATACCTCAAATTTTGGTTAGAGATTAAAATGTAAGTTTTAAAAGCTTGATCATTAAAGTATAAATTTTGTACAAGTATAAGGGCAAAAAATGTAATTTTAAAAAGTTATACATTTTAGCCCGAAAATGAAAAGTTTGACTTAAAACAAGAATTTTTATTGTAATCCGATTTTCGGTACGGAATTTGTATTAAAAGTTATAAAACGATAAATTTCGGTATAGAAATCGGATAGTCAGATCAAACCAGAATTTTACGAAAAATTGAAGGATCCTAGATAAGTGTTGGAAATATTATTTCCATATTTTTTATCAAAGAAATTTAACACATATCAGTGTAATTTTTCATATTTAGCCGAACAATGAAAAATTTAATGACTAAAATATAATTTTCAAAAATTGCATGACATAGTAAAAAATTAAAGTCAAGTTGATTCATCTTTGACAAAGGAATATTTTAATAGAAGATATTGCAATGTCATATTGTAATGATCATGTTTCATTAATGGCAATTTTTGAATTTCTCATTAATTGAATTTTAAATTCAGTTATATTATTATTAAGCCATGTGTCAAGGATGATAAATACTATAATAATCAAGAAATTAAACATATTTTTAGCTCTTGAACAAGCCTAGGCCGAAACACCATTGCTCTCCAAGGTAAGATTTTATTTTTGATTTTTGAAGCTACATACTTGATTTTTGGATTAAGCTATTAGATAGTGAACTAATCTACATAAAATTCTCTATCATTTGGTATGAATATTACATGGTGAACATGTTTATTTCATGAGATTTGGAAATTAGGGTTTATGGATTTTGAAGATTGATGAAAGATTATTATGTTTTTGATGTTGGAGATTAATTCTAAGGCTTGTGTGATGATTAAAATCGTGTAAAGCCTTCTATTGAATTCGGCCAAACTAGGGTTTTAAGGTGTGATTGGATTTTGATTTAATTTGATGTTGTAATGGTTAGAATAACATGAATTTGATCTAAGGAAGTTGAATTCATGCTTGAAATCGAATGGAATCCTTGTCCTATGTACATATATCGGTTCGACCATGAAGAGTAAATAAGGGGGAAATATTGAAAAATTTCCTATGGTTTATAATTGATATTAGAAGTGTTCTATGTGATTTGGAGATCAATTTGGAGCCTTGAGATAGTAAAAGTTCTAGTTTGCAAGTTTTGAGAATTTTGGGACATTATTGATTAAATGTGAAATTTGGGGTGTTCAATGTTAAATTTAACATTGAAAAGCTGGAATTTTTAGTTAGAAAGTAATTTAGAACCAAATTTCAAATTTTGTTAAACTTGAATGTGGAATTCGAAAAGCCCTAATAATTTAGGGACTTGTTTGTGAGTTTGAAAATGTGTTGGTATTATTTTGGACAATAGATAAT